GTAAGGAAATTAAGCTGTCGATGTTCAGGATAGAACAGGGAGTTAGGAGGCGGAGACAGACAAGAGGCAGGTAGACCAATTAAGAACTATTTAAAAGGGGAGTGTGCTGACAGACCTCCCTGTCTTTATCTCTTGCCTTGCCAACCCTTAACCCAAAGAGCCACTAGTTATCTTCCTAAAACAGCTTGACTGACGACATTCCCCTCCCTCAGAAACCCTCATTGGCTCCTCAATTGTATTGTCCAGGAAATACAATTTATATTCCTTCTACCATTAACACTAGATTGTCTATGTCTGGGTTTGATCAGATGTGACTGGATCCTCTCCACTATAATGCGAAAATTGTGCTGTTTTGATGATGGTCCCTTACTAGTTAGCTGAAGGTCCTTCCATAGTTTATATCTCAACAACCTCTATGGGAATAAAGAAGGTACTTTTTTGTCTTACTATTTGTACAACATAGCATGAACTATACTCTAGAACAAATAAGACCTGGGTTCAAATCCCACCTCTGTCATTCACTAGCTATAAGATTGTGGACATATTTTATAATCTCTTTGAATCTGTTTTCTTGTCTGTAAAATGGAGATAATTCTGATGTCATATGGTTGTTGTGGGTTTTAAATGAGAGAATCATGTAAGTTCCTTGGTATAGGGCCAGGCCCAGAGAAAGCATTCGATAGCTACGAACCCTTATCATGAGGCCAAAATACATTTTTTAAAACATAAATGAGAAAAAACCTCAGTGCTAAAACAGTTAAGGTCATTGGGGAGCCAGAGAGACTCACTTCCAACTGCCTCAGATTAACACCAATGTTGTTTCCCTTGTATAGATAACAAAAAAACTTCCTTTTTCATTCCTCAGTCTAGTCTCCAGTTAATCCTGAAATTGCATGCGACCCCACGTGAATCAAATAAAAAAGGAAAACAGTAATTATGCTGAATCAGACATTTTATATTTATATGTTCTAACCAGAGACTGAGCTGCAGAAGCCAGAACTTTTACTAAATTTTTTTTGAACATGTCCAGAAGATACCTCCTGTAAACTACTTGGGACAATTTCTACAGTGATAGGCCCTATGGTTCAATTTGACCCTCCCCAAGTGAAACACAGAGCCAAACTGATGATTCCAACAAAACAGGAGATCACAAATTCATTGCAAAATCCAATACATTACTTAAGGTGGGGAAGGGGGACTACAAATCTTAAAGACACATGCTGTGTGTCATATATAATCAACTCACCATTAGAAAGTATTGCTACCTCTCCAACACACATACACATGCACTTTTTTTCCACGTAGTCATAACAGCTTATAGAAGTCCTGGAATCCTTTGTGCATGTACATATGTATGTGTGTGTGTGGGCACATGATCATATGTGCATTGCTCATGAACACAAAAGGGAACAAGAAATAAAAACTCCAAAACTGCAACTAGGGCACAAAGTTCTGAGTATCATTCAATGTCATTGTGAAGAGGACCTTTGGCAAGTTCCTGAACGCTTCTAACCCATTGCCTCACTCTTAAAAACAATTTCAACATAGATGAGTAATAAAATGCCCATTGTTGCATACCCTTTACCTTTCCTTTGTCTTTATGGAGGGAGGCATAACGAAAATGGTTAGATTTTTAAACTTATTATCATTAGCATTTTCATTTTTACTAGTGAACTAGCTTTACCCAGTTAATATTCTATAGTATTAGAGTCCTAAATCCCTTCTGTCTTTGAAATGCCTGGGCACTCCCTTCTTGTCATCTGTATCACTTGTATGGCACTTATCACCACAGTGTTGTATTCTAATTTTGTGTGTGCCTGGTTTATCTCCCTACTAACAGGAAAGGTCCTGGTGGCAGAAGCCCCTCCTGCCTTTCTTGCTGTCTCCACTATGCTGAGCAGAAGATACTGCACATAGTAGGAGCTCCAAAAACAAACAGTCATTGAAATCTGAACAAAAACATAACCTTTGTGTTAAAGATCCCTTTTGATCATGGCACCTGGGCTCAGCATTATTTGAAAAGCACAGGGGTCAAGCAGACAGGCAATGCAGGACCTCAGTTGGAAGCCCTGTCAGCATGATGTACTCCCTGACACCCTTGAGAGCACATCAGATTATCCTAACTATGATCATAAAGACTGAGACTCCTCCAGAACATGGAGTATTCTTAAAGCCTGTTCAAACCTCTAGAAGGCAAGTGCAAGGCCATCTGGAATAAAACATTAAACTTGGGCTGAGCCTGGGGTTCAATGAGCTAGGAACCCAGACTTTGTGATACTTCACCTGGAAAATGATCCTGGGTGTTTTGCACTGAAAAAAGCACATCCCCCATCCCAGGGAAAGTGCCTGGCAATTAATCCATTCAGACCTAGGCTGAATACAAGTCACTATATTGACTATCCCCCTTAAAAAATGACCAAAATTATCTGAGTGTAGCCCAGAGAAGACAAGGCTAATGTATGCATCTGGAGAGGCCAGGGCAATGGTAAAGATTATGCCTGTTTCTATACTGGCCGTCTAAAGGTATTTACTTGGGTCCGTCTGTGTTGTGACAGTATCCTAGACTCAAATGAATGCCTCTAACACTCCACATTTTTGAGCCATTCAGTCATGCATTTTTGTTATTGTTGAAAGTGGTGCGAAATTGCACTGCATGAGCTAAAGTCCTTGGTGGTCTTCCAAGGATTCCAGCTAAAAAGGCACTTCCTTTGTTCCTCAGGAGAATGCAGTCCAGTAGGTCATTCAAAAGGGGAAATAAAAGCAGCAGCCCTGGGAGGGAGATGAAGGACAAGACAAAAAGAATAAAATGTTTTGGGTGTGAGCACATTAGCTTCCATTTCCTGCTGCTGGTCACTAATAACTCCCCTATCTTTGGCATGGGGGAATGTCCAGATAGACATACATGCAAATATCCCTCAGGTGATTTCTGGGGATGATGACAATCAAAGGGAACACCCTTTGTTCCCTTTGATTTGAAGAGTCTCTGAGCACCCTTCAAGCTTCCTTTTTCCTGAGATGCTGGCTGGGGAAGATGCCCTGCCACAGCGAAAGACTGCACAGAGCAAAGTTGGGGAAACTGGGGAGGGCAATTTCACAACCCCACTCGCTGAATGCCTGCAGTCAGTATCAAAGGCACATATTGTTTGCATGAGCAGAAGATGAAACCTTGTCACATTCCCATTAAGTGCAGAGCTGCATCTACCCCTTCAAAATGTGGGAATGACAACTGTAACCTTCACGCCAATCATCTCCACTGTGCCCAGGCCCAAACTGTGCAGGGCACAAAGGCCCCAGGTTTGACCTGCAGAGCCCCCAAGTTTCAGCGGCTGCTAGTTCACTTCATTTTTTTTTTTCTGGCGGGGCGGGAGGAAGGGAAAGAAAGAGGGCTTTTCAGGGCTCTACAACCAATAAAATCGTGCCGCTTTGAGGACATACTTGAGCTCCCGAAAAGACAGGCAACTGAAGGGCAAACAGTGTCTAATCAGTAGTGAGCATGTTATTTGGTAACTGCCAAGGTGCAGTGGGCGCCTGGGCTGCTCCAACAATTTCTTCGGTTCTATTTCTAGACAGATGCCAGTTACACTCCAAAAGTTCCCAACAACTTCCCTCAATTACCTTTGTAATTTATATGTAATTGATGACTGCACTTAATCTCCAAGGTTATTAATAGCCCTTCCAAAAAATGACCCCCAAATCTTCCTAAGCCTTTGGAAGCGCCTGGTTGAAATTACAGTATTTCCTTTGCTGGCTGCCCGCCCCACCCGGAGACCAGCACGGCAAGGCAAAGGCGCGCTCCACTCACTTCCATGAAAGGTTCGGAGTGGAGGCTCGGCCCCCTGGGCTCGAATCTCTCACTCCTCCGTTAGATTACGCTGGCCACCAGCCAGCTAGATTCATGGTGCTTTCTGAGCCCCCAGGGCGAACGGGCTACCTGCGCGGCCGGCGGAGCTGCGCGCAACAGTTGGCCGCTGCTAAGAAGAGAGTGCGACCCGGAGGGGACCCGGCCGGACACCGCCGCCGGCCTCGCTGGGAAGGACGCAGGGCACCCGCCGAACGCTGCCTCCCCAGCGCTCGGAGAGAGGCTTTCACAAATACCCCCATACACGCCCCCATCCCACCCCACCGGCGCCAAAATCCGGTGAACTTTTTCACAGGCTAAGCCGTCTCTATTTGCATAACCATCTCCAAACTGAGATTCAGGTTTCCTGTAATCAGTCCTTTCAAAGGTCTGTAATTGAAAGTGCAATTAACCCTTAAAATGAGGTAAGAAAAAAGAAAGAGGGGAAAAATACTCCTCTGGTCCGATACCTTCCGGAAAGTAGGAGAGTTCCCAAAAGTCAGGGTTTGGAGGGGTGGAGAGTAGGGGTAGTCGTCTGCTTTTTAAAGGCGACTTCTAAAGCCGTTGAGGCTACTAAAACTCCTAATCCGTGTCAGCGGTTCAAGAGAGGCGGGGAGAGAGTTTTAAAAGAACATCAATGAAACATCAACTCAAGTTCCACGTTTTGCGACCCCCAGAATCTAGCAAGCTCCGGAAGGTTTCCCTCCACCACACCCCACTGGCGACCTCCACCCCCACCCGACCTCTCGTGGTCACCCATACAACAAAGCGGGGCGTCCTATAAGGAGTTCAACCCGGAAAAGGCGAGGGAGCCGGTAACACGCACTTTGAGGACCAGTATCCCCAAGGGCTTCCCCGGACGGCGAATAATGCAGGGGGGGAGGGGGAGCGGGGGTGGGGAGCGGAGCGCGACAGTGGCACCGGGCAACCCGGCGGCTCCCCTCCGCTGGCAGTGCTGGAGGCGGGGAGCGCCGCGCCCGCGGGGAACGTCCTGCGCCCGGGCTGCCTGGCTCTCTCGCTCGCTCCTGCTCTCTCGACTGCCCATTTCTCCATCTAGTGTACCTGCGTCCGGCGCTGAGGGCGGCGGGGCGGGGGAAGGGGGTTGCAGCCACCTTCCCGAGGTGTCGGTCTCTACGCCCACCTCCCGGGGGTGCCCACCTACCGTTAATCTCGTGGAGGGGGGCATCGTTCTTGTTGAAGCCTTTGGACACGTAAAGACGTCGCACTTCCGAGCAACTTTTCGACTTGAGCTCGGCAGCCTGCAGCAAGGCGTTGAGCACTGCCAGGGTGCAGAGAAGCGCGGGCAAGCCGAACCGTGCCATGGTGCGGGCCGGGGCGGACGCGTTCCCACCTTTGGGACTGGACGGGAAGCGGCGCTACGGCAGCGGGCCGAGGGCTGGCGGAGTCGGGGACTAGCGAGTGGAGCTAGAGGGAGAAGGAGTTGGAGTTGGTGGAACAAGCGAGCAGGCGGAGGAGACGCGGGGCAAAAAGTAGAGCTGGGCCTCGCGTCAGGCAACGGTCCCCGGTGCCAGGCGCCGGTCCAGGGTAAAAGGAGGAGAAGGAGGGCGTGGAGGCTGCGCGCGGCCCAGGGAAGCAGAGGCGAGGGCCGGTGACCTC